AAGAGCGAAACTCCGTCTCAAAAAAAAAAAAAAAAAAAGGTATTTATGCATTTGTGGCACTTCCTTGAGGTTGGGTGAGGCTAGCTGGTATTTGGAGAGGGAAGGGAGAGCCCAGGGTAGGAAAGAAAGCCATAGATTGAGGCCAGGGAGGAAGCAGGAAGTAGCTAGAGTCAAATTTCAGAACATCAGGCATGGGGTAGACATTTCTGAAGGAGGAAAAGAATTTCATAGTATTTTGACTTTAACAGTGAGTCCTATGAAGGTTATTCCTGCAGACCTCTACACTATTTTTTCTGGCTTTGCAGTGGTCAGCTAAGCTTTTTATCTGGATAAGCATATGCAGGCCACTTGGTGATAATGTCACCAGATCCTTGGGGTGTCACTTCATCAGCTGGAAAGCTCTGTGGCTAGTGGTGCCTTTGCCTGAGTTTTGCTTGCGCCCGCTGGGCTTGTTCCGCCTACTGGCAGGCTGCACGTGACTCATGCTGCAGGTCCAGATCCCATGCCTACCAAGGGTGAGCCAGGTGTGGGGCAGTGAAGGGTACATGAGGGAGCAAGCATGGGGTCCGGCCACTGCACACAGCCAGGCATGTCAGCAGTGGTGGCTGGACAACTCTAGGCACCGGCATGGGCACTGGGTCCCTGTGAGGCTGCACCTGGACCAGGCATACCACAAGTGGCTTCCACTGCAGGTCCTGGGGAACATAGTAGCATCTGGTAGCTTGGAGATGCCAGGAACCACAAAGCCCCAAAGAGGGTGTCACAGCCCTGGCTTGGGGAGCTATTAGGTCTGGGCTTCCCAAAGGGCCGTGACTCTTCTCTCCTTCTCATTACCTGCAATGTGGTGAGCAGGGGGGTGTGTTTCAGCCCTGTTTGTGTTATAGCTCTGTCAGTCCTGCCATTTGGTGGGTCCCAAGTTCTTGTCCCAGATCCGGGAATAATGAAGGAGGCACACAACTGGAGGGTAAGCAAGGCGAAGAGGTGCTTTATTGAGCAACAGTACGGCTCTCAGGATAACTAAAGTGGGTAGCTCCTTTCTGCAGGCAGGTCATCTCAGTGTCTGTGCAGCCCTCCGCAGAGAGGAGACCCAGAGTGGGTAGCTCCTTTCCACAGGCAGGTTGTTCCATCATCTGCCCAAGTCTGGCTAAATTTGGGGTTTTTATGGGCTTCAGAGGAATGGAAGTGTATGCTGATTGGTCCATGGGTGGCCATGGGCAGGCCCAGAAAAAGTACCATATGTTTTTAGTCCAGTTTGTGAAACTGGCAGACCAGACCCTGTGCTTTAGGCCATCCCTGGCTTGATGGTGGAGCTTCACTGGGGACACACCCCTTTCCACTCAGGAGCCCATCTGACTCCTGCTGCCAGCCATCAACCTGCTGTCCACAGTGCCTATGGTGCCCAGGCTGTTTGTGTCAACAGATGCCTGCAGGCCCATACAGAGCTGTCCTTAGCTGCCCCTTGGCCTTCCTTCTGTGCTTGTCAGTACCCAAAGTCCAGAGGAGGCTGAGGTGACAGGTGGCTGGCATTTCAGTACTTCCCCGAGTATGTACACACCCAGTCACATGGTGACAGTGACTAGGCTTGGCCACAACTTTGCTCTGAAATTGGAGTGGGTGTTGGGAATGGGGAGAGGCCAGGCAGCAGGAGCAGGCACTTCTAAGCCTGCCAGGGGAGGGGGCTTCCCAAGCCCCCTAGAGCACAGGGATGCCTGGGTCTGCAGCTGGGCAGCCGCAGTTGCACCCTGGAGCAGGGGCTCTTGCCCCACCAACTCAGGAGGGCGTGGGGCTCCTACCTGTTCCTGGCTCCTGCCAGTTCTGAGCAAGAAGCCCCTACTGAAGCTGGTGTATTTGCAGCAATTGCTCCAGATGGGCTGCTACTGCCACCAGTAATGAGACCACCTTACGAATGTGGAAGGTGGTCTTGGGAACTCAAGGCTCCAGTAAGGAAGGAGGCACACTGTTCTAAGTAATATCCTTATTGAGGAATAGCTAGGTGCTTGGGATTGCCTTGGGGTGTGGTTCCTTGATGCCCACTTGAGAGTTCCTGTTTCTCCTTTTCCACTGAGTTTTCCGTCTGTTGACCCCTTTCTCTGTGCTCCAGTAACCACTCTGTGGAAAACCTCAAACTTGGCACTTAGCTATGCCGATTCCTAAGTTCTCCATGTGAGTGTAGAATTGCTGTTACACTGAGAACACCTTTGAGAGCAGGAAGCATGTTGTAATCACCTCTGTATCCCTAAGGCCTGGCACATAGATCGAGAAATATTTGTGCAACTGAAATAAACTGGTATGTTATTGACTCCATTCTAATGCCAGTTTTCAGGAGGTGGTGAGAGAGAGCAAAGAAATTAGCCCCTGCCTTCAAGAAGCTTACAGTTTAGGTAAGGACATTAATGAACACCAAGAAAACAATAAGAAAACAACAAAATGTTAGACTGTAAGGTGCCGATAGCATATTCTAGTAATCCTGAGAAGGGAGAAAGCAATGTGGGATGGAGGTGTACAAAACACCTTCATAGGAGATGAGGCTTGGAGGCTGGGTATGGGGAGGAAATGACAGATTCCCTTGGAGATAATCCATTACTCTTGACACTGGGTACGCACCTCTTCTTGCTAAGCAGAATAGGGTGGAAACAATTAGCTTTTTTGATTGGTGGGCTATGGAACTTGATGGAAAGCACCTTGGTTAGTGACTGTCCTTGACAAGGGAGAAGTGTACACACATGTCCATACCTGTTACATATTTGTTTGTACATTGATATAACTATACCCTGGCCAAGTGGTTATCCTTGTCAACTCCAAATATACCTATTTGAGGCCAGTTAATTACACCAGCAGCCATTGGCTTATTTCTGGACTCCATATGTATGCCAAGAAGTTTTTCCCAGGAAATGAAGAGCACCTAGCATTTGTTGGGCCATTAATATCTCCTAGAAATTAACTCCCCCTATTTCTCCTTGATAATCTTCATAGATTAGCAAGTGTGGAGATAATCACATGAATTATCAAGGGATGATGAGAAAAAAGCTCTTAAGACCCCTGCCTGATTCCTCAAGGAAGCATTTCTCAGCTACATGTGTTCTTCACTTCTAACCCACAGTCATCCATGTCATTACTGTCTATGATACAGATGACCCATAGGAATGACAGCGATGTAAAGGGCACAATCAATTTATAGGTTGATTTTACTGAGAACTTCTATATAGCAAAGCTAAGTGTGTTTTCCAGACTGGAAAGAAGGGAATACATTGATAGGGTGCTACTGGCTAACCCACATGTATGTGTTTACCTTTGAGCCAAGTGTACCCTTAGTGTGTGCTTCTAATGTATAGTTGTACATCTGTGTAAGGCAGAAGCATTCTGACTTCTCCAAGGAGCAATTGTTCATTCTTTGTGAAAGAAGAGAGGATGAGCTGCCAAGGTCTAAGCTCCAGAAGATCAGATGGTGTGGGTTCTTGAAGATCAGACAAGCTGTCCGGGTCTCTCAGGCTGCCATTCAAACCTTTCCGAGTTGTCTCTGACTCTTGTCTTCCAGATGCTTTGTTCTGTACAAGCTGCCCAACTTGAAATTTCTGGATGCCCGGAAAGTAACCAGACAAGAACGAGAGGAGGCATTGGTCAGAGGAGCCTTCATGAAGGTGGTGAAGCCCAAGGTGAGCTGCCTACTCCCTGTTCTTCGCAAGGGATTTAGATCTCATGGTAGTACTTATGCTCCAGGGCATGGAGAATGTCCTCTGCATGTTTAGAATGCAGTTGAGATCTCACATGAAGGGACCATCCATGGATACATTGTTGGTCAAACATGAAATAGGATTAAGTTCCAATCGGATCTTCCTGTTTTACCAATAAAGCAGCACTATGCATAGCCCAATGGTGAAGTTCTGCAGGGGATTGCAGATCTCCTTCTTGGAAATATTCCCTAAGTGGGGCATCTGCAGGTTTGCAGCTGAGAAAGGAGAAAGAGGAAAGCATTGGGTATGGGTGGGCTTCTGAGGTGGGTGGGATTCTTCTAGTATTTCAGAAGGGGCCTTACTTTTTTACTGCCAAAGTGATGCTAGGGAAGAGTGATTTTCTTCCATCACAGGCAAGGGCTCCACAGTTCTCTGAGATATCGTTAGTGTGGAAGGCGATGTTTTCTGACAATGTGTCCCTAGGCTGGCATATGCCCTCCACATGTATCTCTCCAGAGCTGATTAGAATGGTGTTTACTGACCTTTCCTTTACCAGCTGAGCCTGTAAGTGAATTTGGTGTCATCCTAATAGCAGCTCTGATGAGGCAGTGGAGATTTGGCTTGGGGTCTGGATTCAGACACAAGGAGATTTTTTAAGGACAAGGATGACTGTCTCTTTGGGAGGAGTTGGGAGTCCTTCAGTGAAGCCATAGGCTGGGGAATGAACTCAATGACCCCTGATGACCTCCTTGGAGAACCGTCATCACCTTGAGGCTCTGTGGAGCTGTGCAGTCACCTCCCATGAGATTGCAGCTTGTGTGTTGAAAACGCTGGTACTGATATCCTAGAGGTCTAGTTTATCCTCAACTATTGACTTGCAGCACTCTGCACGTGCATTGCAAGTGATTAAGGGTGGTGGGGAGGGAGGAGAAAAAACAAAAACAGAACAGAACAATGAAACATCTTCCATCAGGTGGCTCTGCTGGCAGCAGACCTCAGGTCACTTACTTTCCCTGAATCCATGAGGTACAACTCATTTCCCATTATACTGAATAAAATTGCTAGCAGTTGTGGAAATATATGATATGGAGGGTATAATACTGGCAGATAAATGTATTGTTACCTCCTTCAGCATGTGGGAGATTAATTGAGTGATTCATTTCATAGCTATTAAAGTGTTAACTGTTCTCCCTATCGAGGCACAGGCTTGATGTACTGCACACGATTGCCTTCAGTTATTCCAGCTTTTGTAATTTTTCCAAATGAAATAATTTATTACTTGGCTTTCTTTTTATTTGTTTTTGGGGAAAACAGTCCAGAGATGGCCAAACATGACAAAACCCAGCAAAAGTATAACAAATGCACTCTATAATATCCTGGGTTATTAGAAACAACCTGCCCACACATCTCACCTTCTTAGATACATCTGTATAGATGTGTATACCTGTGTGCAGAGTGGATCAGTATTTCTCCTGTGCTCATTGCCTTTGATGTGGGAAGCTCTACTTTGTCACTCAAAATCTGAAGGGGTAATAAAGGTGGCGCCCACCATATCTGAATGGGGCACTCAGTGTATGCCCCCCATTGTTCTAAGGCTCTTGGTGCACAGTTCTGCAAGTATTCACATCACCCTCTATAGTAGAAGGAAGGGGTCATTGGCTCACTTTATGGATGAGGGAACTCAGGCCTGGAGAACTTAACTGGGCTGCCACAGGTCACCTGGCTAGTAATTGTGGAGCTTGAGGTCTACCTTGCATCTGACCACTGGGCCCACACTCCTCTCTCTTTGCTTTCTTACTCCTGGAGCAGTGAGCTAAATATTTACTCTGTGGATCTCTTTGTTCAAGCAAAACCTCCTGAGGTCTAAATGAAGAAAAGGAGTGAGACCAGGACTATTCTGTTGAATAGAGATTGGGGGTGAATCGAAATCCTTCCTTGCTTCTGAAAGCGTCTGAGACTGGCTCCTTAAAATCCAGCATTAGCTATTTCTGAGTCATTAGCAACATCAGCAGAAGTGCTCTTCAGAGTTCCCAATTAGTTTCTAATCAATTCTAGAATTAGTTCATGTTTGTATGATTGACTCCAATATCCTTACTAACTGCATTAAGCTTTAAAAAGCCTGTTAAGAGTGTAAATTAGTTCAACCATTGTAGAAAGCACTATGGCAATTCCTCAAAGAGCTAAAAACAGAACTACTATTTGACCTAGCAATCCCATTCCTGGGTATATACTCAAAGGAATATAAATTGTTCTATCATAAAGACACATACACGTGGATATTCAGAGCAGGACTATTCACAATAGCAAAGACAGGGAATCAACCTAAATGCCCATCCGTGACAGACTGGATAAAGAAAATGTGATACATATACACCATGGAATACTATGCAGCCATAAAAAAGAATGAGATCATGTCTTTTGCAGGAACATGGATGGAGCTGGAGGCCATTATTCTTAGCAAACTAACGCAGGAACAGAAAACCAAATACCATATGTTCTCACTTATAAGTGGGAGCTAAATGATGAGAACTCATGAACACAAAGAAGGGAACAACAGACATGGGGGCCTACTTGAGGGTGAAGGTTGGGAGGAGGGAGAGGAGCAGAAAAAATAACTATTGAGTACTAGGTTTGGTACTTGGGTGATGAAATAATCTGTACGACAAATCCCCATGACACAAGTTTACCTATATAACCAACCTGCATTTTTACCCCCAACCTAAAACAAAAGTTAAAAAATATATACCTGTTAATTATTTGAGGAGAGAGACAAAAGCACATAAGTGATGGGGATCTTGGTTCTTCCTGTAGTCACATGATTTCCTTACCAGAGGACTTAGAAATCACATAGTCTGTGCTCCCATTTCATGGATGAGGGTACTTGGAGAAGGTACAATTTCCTGAGGCTCCATGGAATTGGGACCAGAACCCCCAGGGGTCTGGGCTTCCAGTTAGGTGTTCAATTTATGCCATGATTCTTCGAGTGCTCAGGATGATTATTCTGTGTTCTTGATTTCATCTAAAACTGGATGCCTACATTGAATGGCAGGCACTTCCCTTTCGCCTGTTATTTTCAGAGATATGCAGCGGTACTTTTCTTGTAGAAAGAAAAAGGCTAAATGAGCTCCTTTCTGAATTACTAAATTGGCATTAAAAAGGCTGGTTCTCACCTGTTCACTATGTATACAGACATATGTTTGTTCCCATGCAGGTGTGTATACCCGCTTCTGTGTCTGTGTATATATACATATGCATGTTCTGGGAGGTATGTGTACACCAGAGTCAGCTTCTAAGTGGTGAGTGATTTCCTTTCCATGTGTTGCTGCTGCTGTGCTGAGCACACTCAGGGAAGACCTATTTTTCATGATGGAATCAGAATCTCAAGCTGGCTTCTGTCCTTTCCAGGGGAGCCAAGGCCTGTTGTGCTTATACAGCAGAACGCGCTGATGGATGATCAAGGCAGCCGTGATTTGGGGAGCTGTTTTCATTTTATTCCTGACATAAAGTATTTGGGAGAATGGAAAATGCCTCTCCAATCACAGCCCTTGCCTTGGAGGTAGGGAACGGGCAGTCTGGGTGTTCTCGGCTGACGCAAATGCAGAACCATCTAGGAGGTGATAAAGGCCGATGTCGCAGAGGCCTGATCGGGTACCTGACAGGCGCTGGCGCTTGAGTGCAAGTCCTCACTCACTTTCTCCCATCATGACACATTTCTCCTCTGTTGCTACCTTTTGGCTTTTGTTGTTTCAAAACTGCCTTCTGTCTGAGCTCTGACTGTTGTACAGAAAGATGCTGTCATTCATTAGGAAGTGATAGCTGATGCTACAATGGATGCTTCTAGACTCTCTCTCTCTCTCTCTCTCTCTCTCTGTGTGTGTGTGTGTGTGTGTGTGTGTGTGTGTGTGTGTGTGATTAGTTGATGGACCTGCAACAGCTAGGTTTTGTCATTTCCCCAAATTAAAATATATAAAAATATATATATATAAATTTATCAAATATTGGCCATTGAATCATGCCATCCTTAATACAGAGAACACCACACTGGATACAGAGAAGATTCAGGTCCCCAAAGAAAGAGCTCTCTAGTAACCAGACTGTGGACCCCCTCACTGCACTGGGAAACACAGATCAAAGGGGTGCAGAGGACTGTCCAAGAGGACGTGTGTGGTGGGCTCGCCAGCCCTGCACATCAGAGATACAGCTCAAAAATCCGACAGTCAGAATTGCTTAATTATGTCCTGGCTTTGTAATTATTCATCCCTGTTCTGGCAAAGAGCACAGTTGTCATTTCTTTGACATAATTATTTAAAGCTGAGCCCTCTTGTTTACAGGCATGTGTACAAAGTTGGCTACCAACTGTTTAATCTTCAGAACCTTAAAGAAGCCTGGGGAGGGCGGCTGAGAATCACAGCCAACATTAGAAAGTGCTTTGACGCTTGGGTTTTGCTTGCATTGGTGTCCATCCTCTCATGGGCCAGATGTGGTAATAACCATGTTTGTGACTAGTGAGGTATCCCTGAAGACATGTCACTTGTTTCTTTATGTGGGCACAATGGATTTTCCCATCATGTAGTTTGTGTATTTGTGAAGTTCGTTGTAGCTTGTATATTTGTGTGTGTGTGTGTACCTTTGGATATTTGAGAGGGTGGGCTAGTGTGTGTGTGTGTGTGTGTGTGTGTGTGTGTGTGTGTTAGAGAGAAGGAAGGAGAGGGAGGGAGATGCCCTGTGTTGAAGAAATAAACTTTGGGATACATGAACTTCAGAAGTCTTTCTTATTCTTTTCCCCTAAACTGAAAATTGGAAACTATTTGGGTCTGAGGATCACCTGCTTCCACGGGTACCCTGGGTATTCATGGGAGCAGGTGATCCTCAGACCCAAATACACAGTCCTGCCCTTAACACTTGGAGTTAGGTCCTAAGTACCCTGGATACCTTTAGTTTCTTCCATCTTTGTCTGTATTTTTGGATTTCCATGCAAAAGG